TATATGCTCCTAAAAGTTGTCATATTCATTGCACGTGACAAAATTGACGGTTGAAAGGAGGTTGACATGAAATTGAAATTTTTGGGGGCTTAAAACAAAATGAAAAGTTCGAACAGCAGATTGAACAATATCCAAAAGGTTGAAGTGCAAATCCAACGTTTCTTTATAATTTTGGCCAATTTTTCAATTAATCTTGTGCAAGGGTGAAAAAAAAAATTGATGTTTCATTCTTTCATATGAGATAGATAACAGATTTATCCAAAAAGATTTTTTCTCCGCATGATTGACATCGGAGGTGATCTTCATCTTAAAAAAACCATAAACTCGGATGTTGTTAAGAACTCCAATCAAGGAATCTTAAAACACGATGTTTGACTGAGGGTGGATGGGTTTATCCATCTGAATAAAACCATTGGCGCATTCCTACTTTAGGAATTAAGATGAGGACTTAACTTTGATGTTACTTTTTAACTAAAAAAGCTAATTAATTATTTCCCAAAACACTAACTAATGCATTTATATTATTGTTCCTAGGTCCATGGCATGATTAATATTCTAAGTGGATAATATATGCTGTTAAAATCAAATGTGACAAGTCAACAACGTTAGTAACTTTAATGATTGGCAGATGTGATAAATGGAACAGCATATCTCATCATGGTGCTTCTTACTTATAGCCTCTTATGGATTTTTTACTCCCTGAGGTGTACGTACAATCATGTGACGAATCATAGAACTTGAATTTCTTTTATCCCAAAATCAATTTACACTATCTATTAATAAAGCTCTTGTTGTCAACCAAAATTTAAAAAATTTCCATTTTAATCCCCTCACCGAAACTTAACTCAAGTAAAAAATATAGGCAATTTAGTAATTACATGAACATAAATGTTATTGTTTTTACAGCAACCTCACAACCAGGTTAGTATAACATGCCCTATTTAAAAATAAAATATAAAATAAAAATATTCCCATGTTAGAAGAAACTACTCATCATTATCCCAATTTCATAACTATTTTTTTTTTAGAATTTTAAAAATTAATCCCACTTCATAATAAAAAACAAAACAAAATGAAATTGTTTACACAAAGTGTGTGTGGGCGTCTCATAGTTATCATAAACAATGTTCTTGGCTTGATTTAGCTTAAAGTTTCTAATAATTATAGCCAATTTTATTGTTATTACTAGGGATGGGCAACGGGTATGGTAGGCGGGTAACTGCGGTTATTTATCCGTAACCGCGGTTATTTACCTATAACCGTTTATACTCATACCCACATAACCGTTTACTCGTTGGGTAATTGTCTAAACGATTATACACATACCCATAACTGTTTATAAATGGTTAACCATACTCATTTAACCGTAACCATTTAATACCCGTTTACCTATTTACCCTTTTTAACCTCTTTATTTTTTTTTTACCATTACCCATTTTTCATCCGTTTACATGTTTTTTAACAACTTGAAAATAAAAAAAAATTGTCATAATATTTTTTTTTTTGACAATTAAACACCGTTATAGGTACATTCATCATACATTTCCGTATTTTAATTTTTTAAGTCCTTATACCATTCTAATAATTGAAATAATAGTTTACGGACGATATTTTTAACTGTTACCAATGAAGGTAAATATAATATGTGCTAAGTATTATTGGGTTACAAAATTGTTTAGAAGACATTTCTGTTAAAGGATTTATGTCAATTTCATAGTTACCAGCAAAGAATTTAAATTAAATTAATTTGGCGAATTCCTTGATGATGAGAATTATCATTCCTGTAGCAGTGTTATTAAGAGAATGACCGATGAATTCCTTGCTAATTTATTGGGTGCTAAGTATTATTGGATCGAGAACATGGTCCGTGTTAGTTTTACATATATAAAATAAATAGGTAAATGGTTACCCTTTTATAACTACGGTTAATACCCATAACCGTCCATTTAAATTTTATAGGTAAACTGTTATATCCATAACCGTTTATTTATCTAAACGGTTACCCATAACTGTAATCGTTTAATTTAAATGGGCGGGTAACCGCGGTTACCCATAACCAATGGATATTTGCCCATCCCTAATTATTACTAATATAAAGATAAAATAATAATGTGCATTATGTTCTACTTTAGTTCCCATCCCACAGAAACACACAGCAAAAACGCATACTACGGGTAGACACCTCGCATTCGGCTATTAATGTAGAGTTAATCTTGCTTAATTCTTTCCTATTTTTATTAGGAAAATAATACATAAAGCAAAACCGCTTTTATGGTTTAATGGCTTGTTTGGAAAGTACATTTAAATAATGGAATGTCTTTTTAGAGAAAATGTTAATGAAACCAATCATCAGTAAACTGTAAGTTAATCTTGGAAGAGCTTTCTACTGGAAGCACATAATCGGTCCTTCTTGCAGGAAGCAATTCAAGACCCAAAAATATTTTTTTACTAAGAGTGCTTTCAGTCAATTAAAAGCACTTTTCAAACCATCCCTAAAATTTATATGGTTTAGATTGTTGATTAAGGTTACCCACTAATACGATAAGGGTCTGTGTGACTCAAACATGCAAGAACAAGTATAAGTTACAAAATGGTAATCATGAGACTCAAGGAATCAAGAGGTGGCTGTTTTTGATAAGGGAGGACCACACACACATTCATCTTTCTTTATGCAATCAAAGATTAGATTTCCCACTTTATCAAAAAGTATACATGCATGAGATGAGAGCTACATGCTGTCTTGGTCCACTTGTCTCATAATATACTGAGAAGATCCATCCATTGTATCCAGTATTCGCTGATTAATTCCAAGTGCAAGTGTGTAACACTGGTTCAATTCAGTGTGGTATGCATATATTTTTTTTTTTATCATTTTAACAGCTTGGATCATATGTAGAAGAGAATGATACGAAGAATGCAATCCCACATTGAAAACTTGATAGAATATATTATTATTTACGAATGAATGGTTCCACTACTAATGATATCGATGTCTTTTTAAGATAAAACTCAATCCTTGTTGAGTTGTGCAGATGGTTAAGTTGAAACAATATCATTGTGTTTATTAGTAGACCATGCTTAACATATCCTCGTCAGAGTCCGCAGTAAGATATTTGATAATCGTTATCAAAATCCAGACTTAAGCGCACTAATGAAAAAAAAATATTGTAACTTGTCCAAAAACTTTTTTCTCTTCCTTAATATTCCTACATTGTAAATGATGATATTTTAGTGCTAATTAAACTATAAAAGGAGCAAGTTTACTGATTGTTTATATTAGGTGTATACAAAACAGTTGTAGACGTGTAAATTTCGTTGCATGCAAATGATCTATCACAAAGCTCCACGTGGCATATGACTCATCACAAATGGACAAGTCATCAATGACATGTGGCACAAATCAAGCAAATGAAGCTCAAAAGCATTCCTAAAATTCGGCAAAAGGGAGGAAGCTTCCTTAAAAACGGCAAGGGATCCAAATTGCTCCAAAAACCGGAAAGAAAGCTAAAGCATCTTCACAAAACAAGCAAGAATTGAAGATTGCTCACAAAATAGGCAAGAAAGCCCTATAATTCGGCCAAGCAAGGGAAAGTGGCTGAAATTAAGACACAAAACATGCCTAGATTCTCCCATGGACGAATCAAGACACAAATCAAAGCCAAATCCATCCAAAGTCAAGCTTTGAGAAGTCTATAAATACAAGGTCCCAAGACAAGCATAAGGTCGACAATTTCTATATTGAAGGGTCGAAATTCTCACAAAAGGAGAAACTCTGCCAAATCTTTGAAGATTGATACGCTGCCAAAGCTCTCTTCGAAGAACATACAACCACAGCCGAAGCTTTCTTTCAACCAAAGTCGAAGCACTCCCTTGAAGAATCAACAAGCATTTGTGCCAATTCCTTCAAGACTTTGTTGCAAGCTCAAAACTTGTAACAACGTTCGGTTCAAGATAAAGTCGCCAAGACCCTTGAATCAACGAAATCCTACATCAACACTACCTTTGCCGCAACTTTGAGGTGAAGACTATCCACACATCGTTTATAGTTCAAAACTTGAAGCAATCGTTCAATCGTTTGCCCGAGATCAAGTCATCGCGACCCTTGGACCAACAATTAACCATCTAAATCAAATTTGAAGACTGAATCAGAGGAAAATTGTAAACAGAGATTGTAACCCTACAAATTCAAATCAATACAAATCTACTTTGTACACGAGTTCTCGTTTCATTTGATATAAAATTTTCATGTTGTTGATGCACAAAATCAGCGAGGACTTTAGTACAACAGAAAGTGTTAAGTTTGTGACATTTGCTAAATTGCTCCGGTCACTAGTATGGATAAGTATGTAAATGGATAGAGATAGGGAAGCAAACACAAGATGTACGTGGTTCACCCAGATTGGCTACATCCACGGAGTAGAGGAGTTCTCATTAATTGTGAAGGGTTTACACAAGTACATAGGTTCAAGCTCTCCTTTAGTGAGTACAAGTGAATGATTTAGTACAAATGACATTACGAAAAATTGTGAGAGAATGATCTCTATTTATAGAAGAGCGTTTCTAGTTTCATTCTGACATTGACAAGTGTCGTGTTGTGATTGGCTTTTGATGTTGACACGTGTCGCGCTATGATTGGCTTCTGATGTCGACACGTGTCGCGCTGTGATTGGCCTCATGGTTGTAGGGAAACTCTTCTGGGTCTTTGACGGTATAATGTTGACCGGTGCTGGTCAAGTATGGTACAAACACATGTTTACAACAATATTGAAGGATTGAGGATTTGAACTTGAAGCTTCGAGTGCAGGAAGAATACTTGATTGTAAGTGTGAAAAGTTTTTTGTTTTTTTCGATGAGTTGGTGCAATATGTTAGACTCGTGAGTTATGTACAAGCACACCACTGGTTAGTGGAGAGCAGAAGATAAAGTATACTAGCGAACCCACACAATGCAATATTTTTCTTTGGGCATTGAAAACCTGACGTTCATTTTGCTATGATGAAATTCCACTATCAACCAAATGGAACCCCCACAAGTTTGAAACATCTATTTCTCTTACCCTCCACTTTCTTTTCTTACCTTTTTTCACTTAGACCATCAACATCCATGCAATTCCCATCCGTATTACTATAACATCAAAGAATCCCACTTTGCATTCTTTTAAGCCGAATGAAACAGATGAAAGAATAAACTCACGAACTTTTTAAGCATCTTTCTTGATCAATTTGTTCTCTTGCAGTTTGACATGTCTTTTGTTTTTTTTTTTTTTTGAAGTGGGGTATGAGGGAGAGAGAGAGGCAATCAAGTGCTGTGAAGCACTAGACCATATTGTCTGCAACTGACATCCAAAGATTCACCGCAATACAAAGCTTTTCCAAATACCTTTAAGTTTAGGTTTTGTTTTCTTCATTTTTCGTAGAGAAAGCAAGATGGGGTTTCTACAGAAATTGGGTTTCTTCTGCATTCGTTTAAGTTTTCTTCTTTTCCTTGTTTCGCCGCTCGTAAGCTCGTCCCAAGAACAAATGAAAGGTGCAGGCAGTCACAAAGAGAACATTCATAAGGTAATACTCCATTTCATGCCACCTTTTTTTTTGTGAAGGAATTGAAATGCTCATATCTCAGATTTTGGGGCATGATTTTTACAGCAGATGAGTCACAAACTGTCATCGGAAATCAGACTCCACGGGTTTCTTCTTTGGGCTTCAATGGGGTTCTTGATGCCTGTAGGAATACTTGCTATCAGAATGTCACACGGAGAGGAATGTGGAAGAAGGCTCAGAATTCTTTTCTATGTTCATGGGTTATCAGAGGTAAGTTCATCTATTAATTACTGTTATATTATCATCCTCCTCTCCAATAATCTAGATTGACATTGATTTAGACTATTCAATAGTTTTAGAATTCTTTTGCTTATAAGCGATTAATATTGCAAGTGATGAATTGTCGTAACGAATAGAGTCTTTCTCTTTAATCTAGTGTTTCTTAGGTTCAAACTCTTCCATCTTTATAATATTAATAAACAAATAAAAAGACTACATTATTTATGCTACAAGCTTAATTTATTAGGGTCAGATGCCCCACTTCTTTGACTTACAAAGATGGTGAGAGGAAATAAAAATAAAAATATGTTTTCTTTAAAGGAGATTATGATTAATGCTTAGAAAGCAAGAGAGGAGTGTGATTATAATTTTCTGGGTCACTAAAAACTCGAAGATTCTGACTTTTTTTTTTTAAATTAACTTAATTAACACATGTGTGTAGAACATAATTAGTGTTAGGTGCTGCATTCCCTAATCATATGTAGTGGCTTTTGATTCAATTAATTACCAAATGACTTTGATTAGTTCATGCTTAATTAGTTTTTGTTCAACAGATGCTCTCTGTCCTTCTTGCAACAGCAGGAGCAGTGATGTCCTTCAGAAACTTCAACAACTCCTTCAACAATAAACACCAAAGGGTTGGGATAGGCTTATATGGCCTAATATGGTTGCAGGCCCTAATTGGGTTTGTAAGGCCACAGAGGTAAACTACCAAGTCCAAATGTCCTTAACAAAACATAATAAAATGAGTAAATTTTTCTTTCGGGTGCTATGAATTGTGGTTGTCGATAGAGCAAAACTAGGTATAAGCGGGTCAGGTTAGTTGGCAAGAATGGTTTGTCCACTCTTTTGAGTCAGAGTTTGCTCTCCATTTTTGTAGTGTAAAGTAGTTTAGAATATCGCTTATAAAAAAAATATAGAAGTGTTCAATAAATGTGTGGGAGAAAACAAAATGCGAAATGGTTTTGATTACGAATTGAATCTTTTTATCGTCTAAACAGGGGATCCAAGGGAAGAAGCATATGGTTTTCTGTACATTGGATACTTGGAACTGCAGTGTCTCTGCTTGGGGTCCTCAACATATACACAGGACTACAAGCCTACCACGAGAAGACCTCAAAAGGCATAAAGCTTTGGACCATAATTTTCACTGCTCAAGTCAGTGCCATCACCTTCTTCTACCTGTTCCAAGACAAATGGTTGTACATCCAAAAGCAAGGAGTGCTTCTGGGCAATGAACCAGTACGGCCCACCGCGGATCAAGTGCTTTTGCCAATTGAAAAGCAAAAGCAGTCGGTGACTGATTCTAGCTGAGAAGGCAAATGACCAAATGGCTGGCTAGTTTTTAACTAACATGGAATCTTTTTTTTTTCTTTCCTTTTTCTTTGCTTTCCTCAGTCCCTTTCTCTCCCCTGTACTCCTCATGTTTGAATAGATCAAAAGGAGAATCGATGGACAAACAAAAGGAGGAGTGCAGAAGGAGAAAACAGGATTTGCTAGAATCATTTTCACTTCTTCTCTAGGAATAGTAGGTGTTTATAGCATGTGAAACATGTTCACATTGGGTGTTGGGACTTGGGATAAAGATTTCTATTGGGATAAGTTAATATTTAGGAGAAAATGAATGTAAATATTTTGTAATTATTAGAGTCATGTTGTCACATCCCGGCCCGGGCCCCCACCACATCCCGGGCCCCGCCTCCGCCGTAACATGATATTGTCCGCTTTGAGCCCCGACCACGCCCTCACAGTTTTGTTTCTGGGAACTCACACGAGAACTTCACAGTGGGTCACCCATCATGGGATTGCTCTCGCACGAACTTGCTTGACTTCGGAGTTCCAATGGAACCCGAAGCCAGTGAGCTCCCAGAAGGCCTCGTGCTAGGTAGAGATAGGAATATACATATAAGGCTTACATGATCCACTCCCTTGGGCAATGTGGGATGTTACAATCCACCCCCCTTAGGGGCCCAACGTCCTCGTCGGCGCATATCCGGCCAGAGATTGGCTCTGATACCAAATTATCACATCCCGGACCGGGCCCCCACCACATCATGGGGGCCGCCTCCGCTGTGGCACGATATTGTCCATTTTGGGCCCTGACCATGCCCTCACAGTTTTTTTCTGGGAACTCATACGAGAACTTCCCAATGGGTCACCCATCATAGAATTGCTCACGTGCGAACTCGCTTAACTTTGGAGTTCCGATGGAACCCGAAGCCAGTGAGCTCCCAAAATGCATAAAGATGGAAATATACATATAAGGCTTACATGATCCACTCCCCTAGGCAATGTGGGATGTTACACATGTTTTAGGAAGGATATTATGTCTTTTATTGTTTCCTTGGAGAACATGATTGTATTATGTATATATATTCAGAATATGAAATACATGATGATTTAAGCCGTACAATTTCTATTTGGCATCGGAGCCTAACTCCCGTCGTGCTATTGCTGCTGCCATGAAAAAAAAAAAAAATAGCGAGTCTGTTGTTCTTTACTGCATTCCTGTAGCAAGCCAAGGCTGCCGTGTGTGTGTGTTACTGCCAAAACTCTGTGTGCTGTGCTATTGCTATTATAAAGGGAAACACACATCAAGTTTTTTGTTTTTGTTTTTTTTTTCTTGTTTTTCCTGGTGCATCCTTGCAGCAAAGTCAATTATTTGATGCGTGCTACTATGTATTGGGTGATACCGTGATCAATGACAAGTGATAGGGGAGAGTTGGGATTGAAATTGGAGGGTGGGGCGCATGGCTCTACCCACGGTTCAGTTGCCAATCCGGTGGTTATTCAGAGTGATGCTTCGGTCGTACCTAGTACTGTAAAACTTAATGGATCAAACTACCCTCTTTGGTCCAAGGTGTTGGAGATGCATATCATTGGACGTGGTAAAAAAAGGTTTGTGACATGGAGCATCAAAGAGCCCAAGGAGGACAGTGTCGAGTATGAAGTTTGGGAGATGGGGAATGCAATTGTGAAAGGGTGGCTGATTAATTCCATGGATCCTACCATCATTGGATTTTTCATTCATCTTCGTACCATTAAATAAGTCTGGGAAGAAGTTGCTCGAACGTATTATGATGGGTTTGATATTTCTTAAATTTATGAGTTGAAGGTGAAGTAATTCCGACTTCACCAAGAAGGACCTATCGGTGTATACTATGCCGATCTCAAAGCTGTCTGGCAAAAGTTGGATCAAAGAAAACCAATCAAGATGGAGTGTGCTATTGACTTGAAGACACTTCAAGAAAAGATTCAACTGGATCGTGTGTATGCCTTCCTAGCAAGGCTTGATGATAATTTTGACGAAATGCATAGTGATATTTTGAGAACTCAACCTTTACCGTCTGTAGATAGGGTGTTCTCCATTGTTAAGTGGGAAGTACAACGCCATACAACTATGATGGGAAGTAGTGGCGTTGGGAACCAAGGAGAAGCTCCTCACATGGCTATGGTGTCACGACCACCTTCAGGTAGCCTGCCTTTTAATCCATCACCATTGTCCAATTCTAGGCCATTCACTCGGGAAAACAAGGATGATTTGAAGTGCACTTTTTGTGGGCAAACCCGTCATACAAAAGATACATGTTTTCAGAAACATGGAGTGCCTAAATGGTTCCTTGAATTGAAGAAAAAATTACATGCCAAAGAACGAGCCGCTAATGAAGCAAGTGTAAGCCGTGCATCTGTTGCCACTGCCACCAAGGATGCTATACCTGCCGTGCCCCTTATAGTGATCCAAGTCAAAGCTTGTTAACTAGGACCACTCTTAGTGAAACCCTGGCCACTCCAGGTAGTATAAGGTGTGTTCTTTTAGCCTCTGATATGGAACATCATATATGTTAGATTCTAGACTCGGGTGCAACCGATCATATCACTTTTGATAAGAATTTATTTACTAGCATGAAAACAAGTTCACGGAAGTGTATTGCAACTGCTAACGGAACAACATTGGTTTTGGGGGCCAGCACTGTGAACCTCACGCCAGCCTTTCGCCTTCATCATTGCCTGCTTGTTCCCTCATTGTTTCATAATTTGTTATCTATTCCTCCAGTTACTGAGCAATTAGATTGTGTTGTACTTATGTATCCGATGTTTTGTTTGCTTCAGGATATTCAAACCAAGGAGATAATTGGGCGTGGCACTACGAGAAAAGGGTTATATTATGTGGATGACATCGTTCCTGGTAGAGCTAATGCAGTTCAAGCATCCCGTACCAATAATTTGTTAGAAGTTTGGTTATTGCATTGTCGGTTATGACATACTTCATTTGGTTATTTAAGGCGTGTGTTGCCTAGTTTATTTTATGAAATAAAAGAATCAGACTTACATTGTGAAGTGTGTATTCTTGCGAAAAGTCATCGCGCTTCGTTTCCTCCTAGTATGAATAATAGATTATTTTCTTTTGATCTTGTGCACTCTGATGTTTACGGTCCCTCTCCCGTTAGTACTTTGTTTGGCATTAAATGGTTTGTTACCTTTGTTGATGATTGCACTCGTATGACTTGGATTTATGTGATGAAGAATAAAAGTGATGTTAGTATGGTGTTTCGGTCATTCTCTTAAATGGTTGCAACACAATATTCCTCTGTTATTAAGGTTCTCCGCTCTAATAATGGAGGTAAGTATATTGGTTCTAAGTTGTCTGGCTTACTTCAGGATCAAGGAATTCTACATGAAACTACTTGTCCTCATACCCCACAACAAAATGGGGTTGCTGAGAGAAAGAACCGTCATATCCTAGGAACTGCCCATGCCTTGCTTATTGGTGCGTCCGTACCTAAACGGTTCTGGCCTGAAGTTGTCACCTATGCCATGTATGTGATTAACCGTATGCCATCCCAGGTTGTGGACTTTCGTACACCTCTCCAAATGTTAACAGAATTTGTTCCCATAGTATCAACCAATACTCTTACTCCTCGTGTATTTGGGTGTGTAGCCTATGTTCAAATTCATAAGATTCATCATAGTAAGTTAAATCCATGTGCTCGTCGATGTGTTTTTTCTGGGATTTGCTCCTCAATAGAAAGGGTATAAGTGTTACCACCCTAAAACTTGCCATATGTATGTGACCATGGATGTTAGTTTTTCTGAATCCGAGTTCTTTGATGCTTCAATTCTGTCACCTTCCAATCACTAAGGGGAGAATACTAGTGATAATCTTGGGTGGTTGGAAATATGTAACTCAGGGGGAGCACTTGTTGAAAAAGAAAGTTGTGAAAGCTCTCGGCAAAGCACTCCCGATAATGGAGATAGTGGCTCTCGGTAAGACATTGCCGAGAATTGGAGTATCATGCAACCACCGAGCACCGAATCAGTTAGGTCTTCTCAGCAACAAGTTGCCGAGTATGATGCAGAGTGTCGGTAGAGAGCTGCCGAACCAGTTACGCCGCTTCAACAACCATTAGCTAACGAACCCACACCCCCTCTCTCTCAAACTTGATTGTGCCACCCAATATGTCTTCTTTGAATATCCCTAAGGTAAGTACTACTGATGCTCATGTAACAAATCTAGATAATATTATGATTACATATAAGTTGCCACCAAGGCAAAATCGTAGTGTTCCTTCTGACATGTTTTTTCCTAAAGAAAAAGTAAAGTATCCAATAGCTAATTATGTGTCATGTTCAAACCTTGCACTAGAACGTCAAGCCTGGGTAAATAATGTGGAATCATTCCAAGCACCAACCCGAGTTGAGAAGGCCTTGAAGGATCCTAAATGGGCTGCTGCAATGGATGAGGAAATGATGGCACTACATAAGAATGATACATGGGAGGTAATGAAGCTACCTGAAGGAAAGAAACCAGTTGGGTGTAGATGGGTCTTTACGATCAAATACAAGGCAGACAGATCGATAGACAAGTATAAAGAGAGGTTAGTAGTAAAGGGTTATACTCAAACTTATAGTGTTGATTATCAGGAGACTTTTTCTCCAGTAGTGAAGATGAATATAGTACGAGTTCTGATTTCTTTAGCAGCAAATTTGAATTGGCCACTGAAGCAGTTTGATGTGAAAAACACTTTTCTTCTGGGCACTTGGAAGAATAGGTATATATGGATTTTCCTCTGGGGTACAATGCCGGAGGGAAAACTGGAGTATGTAAATTGCGAAAGTCACTCTACAGACTTAAGCAATCACCTCGTGCATGATTTGGTAGATTTACTCAAGTTATGAGGAGGATTGGGTATTATCAAAATCACTCAGATCATACATTATTTGTGAAATGAGGAAATGGTAGAGTGACAACCTTAATTATTTATGTGGATGACATGATAATAACAGGTGGTGATTCGGAAGAGATGATGAAGCTAGAACAAAATCTTGCCGCCGAGTTTGAGATGAAGAATTTGGGAGATTTGAAATATTTTCTTGGCATAGAAGTAGCTCGGTCATCTAGAGGTATTTTCTTGTCTCAACGTAAATATGTTATGGATTTATTAAAAGAAACACGCATGCTGGGATGTAAGCCTGTGGACACCCTATCGTAGAGAAACATTATCTGGGAATTTATCTTGATCAAGAATCGGTTGACAGAGGTAGATATCAAAGACTAGTGGGGAGGCTAATTTATCTGTCTCAACTCGTCTATTCCCTAAGTGTGGTTAGTCAGTTTATGCACTCACCAAGTGTGGATTATATGGCGG